GTTAGGGCTTTTTTGGGGGGATGTGCACTTTCGTAGTCAAAGTCAATAACCAGAATAAGCAAAACACTAATTGAATGCAACAGCAGAGCGTATGACCGTCACTGGTTTCATGGTGGAGTGAGTATTTATATATAGCTCTAGCAACTTGTGTCATCAGACCATCAAAATTGATGCCAGGATAAGGTGGGTACCTTGGCAGAACCAAAACCAGGAGATCCCAACTTACAAATACAAGAATATATGTAACTTATACAAACCAGCGAGACCACCACAAAGCCTGAAATACCCAAATGACTCTGTCACTGTCAACTGTTGCATGGCTAGTGGGAGATTTAAAAAAAAGTAAGAGGCTTGGTAATTTAACATGTTTTCTTTACTCCCTGTGAAGTGCATAGAAATCAGTGGCAAGAGAAGGCTCAGTGAATGGTCCCTATCCTATACACTGTGTGCAATTGAAAGAAGGTAATAAATCTTGGCTAGGATCCTGGGTAATGGTCCTGTTCCTTCCACCACCTTCAGCCTGTTCCGATGACTTGAAGACTCTATGTCCCTATTAGTATTAGGACCATAGGACTGGGCTTCGTCAGATCCTCTATTAATTGGGCTAGGATTCTTGGGAACCTCACCATTAATTTATTACTAACCTTTCACCTCACAACAGAGGGTGGTACAATGGGTATGGGTTATCTGCCACTCCTCTACCTAGTCTTTATTTCCTTCCCTACACCAAAGGAAAAAAGAAGATGGAGGTAGTTGTTGAGATCCCTTGTTAATCTGTGTTCTTTGTTTAAAAAAACAATAGCGTTTGCTTGGTCCCTTAGAGTTAATTGTGGGGGCTTTGAGGATTCCCATAGGTTTTTTAAAAACATTTTTTATATTCTTTTAGTATCATTGTGCTGCTTTCTGCTGTGTCATGAAAATTATTAATTCACCTGTTGCATGCCCAGATAGATTAGGTAAACTGACCTCATATTTTTTATAAAATAAAATAGATACTTAACCCAGCCGACACCTTGTTGTTTGTTACTGTCTTTGTGGCAGAGAGGCGCGTTGTGGTATTTTAATTGCTGTATTTTATTAAATTTATTTTTGGCCACTTTCCACTTGTCAGCCATTTTACTCTTTTATTTATTTTTACCTTTATTTTTACCTGGCACCAGAGTTTTTATTGTTCCAGTGAAAATTTTACTCCAAAGAATCCTTGATGGGGATTATACCACTCAAGCTTTATTCATTGAGCAGTCTGCCTGCTCAATAAAATGTGAGTAACCACTTGGTATTTTATTATTTCATCTCTGGCTTTTATACAATAAGCACTATTATTGTTTCTTTTATATTTCATATGGTCCTTATACCAACAAGATATCCATCTACTACAAAACTTCACGTATCCCATAAGTGGGGATTGTACAACTGTATGCCATCCATACTAGAGCTGGTCTTATAGCTCTGGAAAACGTGAGTAGGATGATATAGACCTCTTACAAAATAGTACTTAGTACCTGTTGGGATATACTGCACCATTATTTGTTGTCCTTTTTATTTTTTTCCCTATACGGATCACACGAATATCCCATGCTCATACCTTACTGAGGAATACTTCCCCTGACAAGTTTGTGATTGACTTCTTATACGAGGTTTTATTTGACATTTTGCTGTATTTATCAGTCATAGATGCTGTTGGACTTACTTTTTGGACTATTATTCATTATCTATATTTCAAACTCTTTTTTTTAAATCTTACATGCATTCTCTCTTATTGTAGTGTCTTGTATATATGCTTGTATAGTTTATAATCAGGTTTTTTTTTTCCTGTGGCTCTTCCTCTCCCTCCACTTTTTTTTTTATTTTGCTTTCCCCAGAATGTATACCTGCTTTCATGCACATGCTTGCTACCATTTTTCCTGAAGTAAGACATCCCCGAAAATGAGCCCTAGTGCATTTTTTTGGGGAAAAAATTAATATAAGACCCGGTCTTATTTTCGGGATAAACAGTAATTAATTTAATTAGATCAAGTCACTGCACTGTAAATTAATTTTATCTTAGCCATTATGTGTATAACAAGTCTTATTAAAAAAAAAAAAAAAAGTTCACAAATCCAGCACGTAGTGCTCTTGAAGTTAATGCAGAGATTCAGATTAGAAATGGTGTACATTGTTATGAAGGTCTTATGTTGTCATCTTTTTTGGAAATAAATACTGGCAATGCTAAGTTCCATAATTAAACATGCATGACATCACAGGACATGACATCACAGGTGGGTATGTAACATCACAGGACATGACGTCACAAGATGGTACATAACATCACAGGGAGAAAAACATTTAGAAGGGGAAAATTATCTAGATCATGAAGAAACTACTTACAATGTGTATGCTATGTCTGACTGTGAATTGTTTATGTGTGTGTTTGTAACAGTGTGTGTACAGCAGTGTGTGTCCATGTGTATACTGTGTGTATTTGTGTCAGTACGTTGGTGTGTGTGTATATAGTGTCTGAGTGTGTGTAGCATTTTATTGTGCGTATACTTTCTACATTGTGTATTGCAGTGTGTGTCAAGTGTATACTGCCTGAATCAGTGTGTGTATAGCAACATGTGTATACTGTGTCTGAGTTTGTATGTGCATAGAAGTGTGTGATTGAATGTATACTTTGCCCAACTGTGTGTATAGCAGTGTGTACATACTATGAGTGTGTGTGGCAGTGTATAGCATTGTATGTTTACTGTGTCTTAGTGATTATAAGAGTTGGCTTTCCTGGTTTAATTTCTCTCACCATTCTTATGGTTATAAAACTAATTAAAATAATGACTGTTGCAGCTTGTTGATTGAAGGTCAGATAGAATTGCTATTTTGAAGACAAGAGTGACTTTATTTCCATTTTGTGTCACAACTTGCAATCAGTTGAAACTGGCTTTTCTTTTGGTTTGGATGAACGACAGGAGCAGAATTGTACGAAAGGGTGAACCTTTTTTCAATTCATATTACTATGGAACTATGATTTGTGATAAGAGATCTTTTTGTGAAGAATATGTTTTTTTTTTTCTTTTTCCATTGCATAAAAAATAGATGCAAAACTGCACCTTTTCTTTCTAAAAAATATTTTCTGCTGTTGTTGGTGGGGGGTTTTCTATAGCAAGGGAGCAGGGA